GGAAGGTACTCTGGAGGCAAGGCAGTCCGTGAGAGAGGGTACCTGATGCTGAAGACAAAGAGGAGAGGGTGGGTTTCAGAGTTCTTGGTGACAAGCTGTGGGGAGCAAGAGTCCCAGAGAACATGGCGATTCCCAGACTTGGTGGCTGAGCGGGAGGATGGAGGCACCTCACAGGTAGACAACAGGTCAGACATGTGGGGCACGGCTGTGTGATGGAAGACCACTCTGTTATATAGAGCCTCTCAGGCCTTCCCAGATCAGTGATAAAAGGGGAAAGGCAGAGATGGGAGAAGAACTGTGTTGTAGGGACTCTGGGCAGGCCTATTGCAACAGCCTTAGCCTGTTTTGGTGGGGATCTTCTCCTTGGGATATTCTAGAATTACCTATAGCTCCTTTGGGAAGACTGAAAAGGCTTCTTAGCCTTCAGACCTCCAAGGAAGCTCTGTTAGACTCAGCACCTTGGGTAAGAAGCAAGAAGGGCACAGGCCTGGGAATCACACACGTTTATTTGCCATGAAGTCCTGGAGTAATTTCTCAGCCTTACCCGCGCCTGTCCCTGCTGCTGTAAAATGGAGGTTTAACTACTCCATGGGGATATTTGATGAGAGAATAAGCAAAACTCTGAGTCTTATGGCTGAACTGCATAGAGACTTCATACCTTAGCCTCTGTTCCTTCGAGGCAATACACAGAAGAATGCACACGCCCACGTGAACAATACAAAAACAACATAAAAATATCTAGGTGAAGTCTCACCCCCTCCCAAAGGGGTGTGCCCATAAGCCAATGTCTTCTTGCTGTTTCTGACACTTACATATACTCTTAGCTCCCAAACTCAGTCTCTTCTGGTTATCATGCCACCATATCATCTCTTTCTCTCACTGTTTCAGTTGCTACAGCTTGCTCTGGGATCCTGGCTTTAAGAGGTTGAAGCTGAGCCAAATACTGTCCGTCACTCACATATCCTAGACTCTCCTAAGCCAATCCCGGAATGTAACATGAAGAATGGGCCCAATAGCTAGCCAGGCAAAGACTCACATGTAGTAGCTGCATGCTGGATTTGTGGGGGCACTGCCAGGACCCCAGAACATGGGAGTATCTTCTGGGAACAAGGGGAGGTCAAAGAGCTGGAAGCTGTGCTGAGCTTAGACTTCTGCTATGGCTTCCTGAAGCTTGGCTCCTTGGGCTCCTCAAGGCACTGCTGGGGCTCAAGATGCTTCTGCTGCTGTCAATCAATTGGCTTCTCTAAACCAGGTGGCTTATCCATTCTTCCAGCACCCTGCCTCTCCCACAGGTGTTGGTCCAACCCCGCAGCCATGCTTTGGAGTTCATAATTACTAATCTGCCTTGGTAAACAGGCACCCTCAATGCCAGCTGCAAGAGGTTTCACTTGATGTCCTGACTGGCTACGGCATCCTGGAAGGGGCAGGCACTGTATGAGGCTGGGGTCCCAGGAGCTCCTGGCTCTACTTTCATGGGCTCTAGAATGTTCATGCACGCTGCCAATTCTGGAAAGTAAGGAATGGTCAATCACGCTGGGTAGGTCATCCCAGGTCTTGTGCCTGTAAATTTTCATCTTGGCAGCTGAAGCATTGAAAAAAATACGAGTTCTGCAATCAATCAGAACTTGGTTCTAGTCTCAGTTCTGACACATAGGCACACAGTCTTTCCAGACCCATATTCTCATTGGTAGAACAAATAGATTTAATAATAGCATTTGATGAACACTTACTATGCTCCAGGCTGCATTTTCTATATTCTGTAAGTAAACAGGAAAACACACACACACACACACACACACACACTTAATCCCTCCCTTCTTGGTGATGAATATAGGTGAATTTTAGTCCATTCTTGGAATTCCATCCTCCTTATAAGCGACTGGTGTATAGATAGAAATATAACTTCATTCTGGCCAATTAGATACAAAGGGTGATCTAGGATTTTCCAAGAGAGCTTTCCATTCTCTATTTACCCTTGGATATTATGTACAAATATGCCACCTGGAGCAACTGCAGCTATTTGGAAGACAGTAGCCAGTATACTGAAAGTTGAAAGAATGTTGGTCTTTGATGTTTTCATTAAGTATTCCAAATAACCAACATGGAAACTAAATCATCTCTGGATCCCTTTGAGAGAGAGCAGGAAGGAAAGACTATGGGAGACTGTGTATACCACAGAGCATGTGGGGGTCAGAGGACAATCTTCCGAAGTTGGCACTCTCCTTCCACTATGTAGGTCCTGGATAAAACTCAGGTCATCAGGCTTGGTGGCAATCACCCTTATCCAGAACCATCTAAACAGCCCCCATACATGTGTGTGTGTGTGTATACATACATACACACATACATACATACACATATATGTTTTATTGTGCTATATATTTTTCTCAGCTCCTCTTCTTTCCTCCCCCTCTACCCTCTCCTATGACCCACATGCTCATAACTTGCTCAGGAGATCTTGTCTTTTCCTCTTTCCTATGCAGATCCATGTGTCTTTCTTAAGGTCGTCTTTGTTGTCTAGGCTGTCTGGGGCTGTGGACTATGGGTTGGTTTTTCTTTGCTTTATGTCTAGAAGCCATTTTGAGTGAGTACATATTATATTTGTCTTTCTGGGTCTGGGTTACCTCGCTCAATATGGTTTTTCCTAGATCCACCCATTTGCCTGCAGATTTCAAAATGCCTTTTCCTTTTTTTTTTTTTTTTTTAACCACGGTGTAGCAATCCGTTGTGTAAATGTACCACGTTTTTTATCCATTCTTCAGTTGAGGGGCATCTAGGTTGTTTCCAGATTCTGGTTATTACAAATAATACCAGCTCCTTCTTAATGTTGTGACACTGTCACATAATTTATGAACTACTGACGTGTGACCCTAATTAGTCTTATCAATAATAACCAAGAGTCAGATATTGGGGGGAAATTGGAAGATCAAAGAACTGGGAGCGGCCACCAGTTGTTTGCTACCTGTCTCTGTTGTCAGTTCAAGAGGCCAAGATATTGTCTCCACCTCCAAATGCTGGGATTAAAGACATGTGCCACCACTGCCCAGTTTCTATGATTAACTAGTGGCTAGCTCTGCCCTCTGATCTCCAGGCAAGCTTTATTTGTCAGAATACAAACATAATATCACACAACAAACTATCCAATGATCTAGTTCTTTATCCTTGCTGTAAGTGGAGTGTATCACTGTGCGTGCCTTTAGACACAGAAGATCCAACTAAGAATTATGAGCTCACCTGGGATTCATGCAGGTGAGGGCACAGCAGGAACTGCCCATTCAGTACTGAGTATGAAATGGACAAATACAACTTTCACCTCTGTGTGCTCCCTAGAGCTAATCTTCCTATACCCAAAGCATCTTATAGGCAGGTAGCTAAAACATGTGCACAGATAACTCTAGCTGGCCCTGCTACAGATCTGTAATCCCAGCTACTGGAAAGGCTGAGTAAGGAGGACTCAAGTCTTGTTTAAGATAACAAAGTTCAAGGCCAGTGAGAGCTAGCCTCGGAACTACTAGGGGTCAAGCTCAGGAGTACTGTTTGCCCATCACAAGAGATGCTATGAGTTCATGCTTAGAACTGTAAAATATAAATTCTGTCCCTCACAGGGACATCACTTCCCAAAAGGACTCCAGTGGACTCAGGCAAAGGTCTGGGGACATGACACTAGGTGATGTTCCCATGCATGTTCGCCCCCTCCCTCTCTTCCTCTCCTCACTGCCCCCCACCCCCATTTTGACACTGTTGAGCCATTCAGTATTACCAGGAGCTAGCTGTCCCCTACCCTCCACTCAGGAGTTAAGGACACTGGACTAAGAGTCACATCCCACCATTTCGGCAAGTGCTGGTTAGCTCTGCAAGTGTAAACTAGAGAAATGGCAAGAAATCTCTCAAGGGACTGAGATGAGCACAGGCACAAATCAGACACTGACACTCTGCAGCACCAACTTGCAAATTTTCAAGGATGCTTTAGATGTGAATGCTTTTGGGGACAGCACCTTTACTTCTTGGGAAAGGAAATATGTGGAAGTGAGCTTTACAATAAAAAGACTGGGGGAACAACCCAGATAGTCCTCATGGGCAGGAGGAAGTGGAATAAGTTGAACACATCCTTAAAAAAAATATTTTTATGTGTATAAATGTTTTGCTTTCGTGTGTGTGTGTGTGTGTGTGTGTGTGTGTGTGTGTATTCTCATGGCCATGTATATACGAATATATGTGCCATGTGCATGGCTGGTGCTCCAGAAGGCTAGAAGGTGTCAGATCCTCTGAAACTAGAGTTAGGATAGTTGTGAGTTGCCCTGTGGGTGCTGGGAACTGAACCGTGGTCCTTTGCAAAAGCAACAGGTGCTCTTAGCACCTCAGCCACCTTTTCATCCTCAGCTCCATGCACTACCACAAACCTCAATACAAATTCAAAGGAACGTTAAAGAACACTGGATCTTTTCTTTTTTTTAATATTTATTTATTTGTTATGTATACAATATTCTATCTGTGTGTATGTCTGCAGGCCAGAAGAGGGCACCAGACCTCATTACAGATGGTTGTGAGCCACCATGTGGTTGCCGGAAATTGAACTCAGGACCTTTGGAAGAGCAGGCAATGCTCTTAACCACTGAGCCATCTCTCCAACCCCCTGGATCTTTTCTTTTATTTCTGGTTTTTCCAGACAGAATTTCTCTGTATAGCCCTGGCTATCCAGGCACTCACTCTGTAGACCAGGTTAGCCTCGAACGCACAAGAGATTTGCCTGCCTCTGCCTCCCAAGCACTGGGATTAAACACGTGCATCATCACTGCCTGGCAGAACACTGGATTTTAATAGCAGACAATAGGGTAGGCTATCCTGTCTCATTTTCTTTTTTTTTTCTTTTTTTTTAAATATTTATTTATTATGTATACAGTAGTCTGTCTGTGTGTATACTCGCAGGCCAGAAGAGGGCACCAGACCCCATTATGAGATGGTTGTGAGCCACCATGTGGTTGCTGGGAATTGAACTCAGGACCTTTGAAAGAACAGGCAGTGCTCTTAACCTCTGAGCCATCTCTCCAGCCCCCTCCTGTCTCATTTTCATTGAAGAAAAATTAATCTGTTTACAATCATAGAAAATGTCAGCAGGTAAAGTTACACCAAATGAAATGGTTATTTATGGGGTATTAGAATTCAGAGGGGTTTCAGCTTCTTTTCTGCTTACTTCCTACTTTCACATGACATGAAGAATATTAATACATCACTCAAAACTGGGCAGCATAGTTATAAGGGGAGACTGGGACCTAGACAAGGTTATCTCTTCCACACTGAATGACTATGGGCCTAACAAAGTGGTAGACAGCGTGCTATGTCTGTCCCTGCCGTGGTAAACACACGGCATGAAGACTCAATTGCCAGGCTTCCCGACTGTACCAGGGATCTTCTTGCTCAGGTGTCTGGGGCATCTGACCACCGTCTTAGTCCGAGCTAAGACCTGGCAGGCATCCAGCAGCAGCAGGGGCCCCAGACAGACAACGGCTGGGATGTAGGTCCTCAGCGACTCTTTCAGGACCACCAAAGTGAAGACAGCCCCTAGAACAGAAAGGATGCACACCCAGAAGATCCAAGAGCTCAGGGGTTCCAGCCCAGGCCCTCCCATTAAAAATACCCCTCACACCTCTTCCAGGAAGCAGGACAAAGAATCAGAAGCTTCGAAAGCTAATGCAAGCCCCTGAGCAGGGGAAAGTCAAGTAGGGATATGGAAACAAACTTTCACCAACTCTTTATAATCCTAAATCTACTGGAGGATTCAAAAAGGGACTCAGGGGCTTGAAGCGCAAGTGTGGTAATAATCTGAAAATGCGGAAGGCTTTAGAAATCAAAAGAATGTTTTAGTGGCAATAATTCAGTGGCAACACTGGCCAGAGGATGCAAACCAGCACAGTGTCTAGCCTTGGAAGCAGCAGCTGTCCTGCCTGTTTGTTGGCACTTCTACCGCTGAGCTTCTCAGAATGCATTCTAGAGACATTCTCTGCCTCTTTGATCAGGGGACTATAACTTTCCTGCTGCCTGCTCCCATATTCACAAGATCAGAGGTTGTCAACCTGTGGGCCATGACTCCATTTCAGGGTTGAACGACACTTTCACAGGGGTCACCTAAGACCATCGGAAAACAGATATTGACATTACGATTCATAACAGTAGCAAAATTACAGTTATGAAGTAGCAATGAAAATAATTCTATGCGTGGGGTCACCACAACATGGGGAACTATATTAAAGGATCACAGCATTAGGAAGGTTAAGAACCCCTGCACCAGATACATATACATTAGGTGACAGCTGTGGCTCTACTCCCTTCAGGAGTGAGCACGTAGGAGTGAGCTCTTGGGGTTGCACTACATGTTCACACTGGGACACCATGCAGTCACAGAATTGATGGGGAAAGCATGTTACAGTATTATAAGGATATGATCTGTGACATTTCAAAAACACCTAGTCCCTGTATTATGGAAGCTATGGCCGAGCAGAAGTGTTCCTGGTCCCATAGGAAAAAAAGAGGGCAGCAGTAAGGAAGAGCTAAATCTTTCTATCATCCCCAGGAGACCCCAGGTGCCCTTACCCATCAGGAGCAGGAGCAGGAGCAGGAGCAGGAGCAGGAGCAGGAGCAGGA